GCAGCTAATTTACGATAACAGCCAACTTTAGGATTACAGTAGTCCCCTCGTTACATAGCAGTTCGTTTTTCGCAGACTCGCTCTATTGCGGTTTTTCAAAATAAGATTGGACATGACACACAATTGGCTGATTGATGGATGAGCCGCATGATTTGCATGGAATTTTTATTTAAAATAAATTATTTAAAATTATTTAGCAGCTGCTCCTGCAGCTCCTCCTCCTTCCTCCTCTGCCAATCTCCGTTCTGCAACAGAGAAGTGGGCGTGGCCGAAAGCGCACAGTGCAGCCGAGGCAGAGAGCTGAAATCATGACAAGCTGTGCTCTGAGCGTTTAGAGTTTAGAAACAGTTTCTAGAACATTGCAAGAGTTTGGGAAGGGTTTAAAACGCCTTTATATACATATGTATATATATTAGGGGTGTAACAGTACGCTAAAATCACATTTTGGTTCTTTTCAGTTTCAAGGAGGGCTCGGTTCAGTTAATTTTCGGTACAAAAACGGCCAAAATAAAGACTTACAAAATGTTTATTTCGAAACTATGCCAAGTAAACAAATTCAGTCATTACAGATTTCTTAGCTGGAGGTGATCTGGTGGATGAAGAAGACAGCTCTATCTCATTGACATCCTCAGAATGCAAACAGCACAAAGAGATAAAAAAAATAGAGTTAATAATATTATAATTTTAAATTAAAAAAGTTATTTAGATCACAATAATACAATAACAATACCTCTTCTTGCACGCTCATCATTTCTGTTATGAAGTGGTTGAATCTCTCGGTCATCATCATGAGGGCAGGGCTTTAATCTGGTCCAGAGCTTGTTGACGATCAGTTCTGGCTTTTTCATAAAGTGCTGCTACAACTTTTTGGCTGAAGTGTTGATGTGATGGGATATCGTAGCAGGGCGCTAGTCTTTAATCAGATGCTTAAAGCCGACGCATCAACAACAGAAATGTAGATCCAGAGCTTTAAAATCTCCTACAGCTTGTGTTATTGCTCTGGACCGATCTGAATTACCTGATAAATGTTGATTAAATGCTGCTGTTATCAGTCTTTGCAACAAGCTGCTTTTCTTGCTTGTAGAAGAGACGTTCACATTCAGATGATGTTATTTCAAGTGAGTTCACAAGTTAGACGTGTTGCTGCTGCAGATCCACTCTCTGAAACAACGTCGACACACAGCTTTGGATTTGTTCACTTGTCTTTTAACAAGAAAGCCATAATGTTCCCAAACAGGAGACTGCAACGAGATGCTAGGCTGCTAATGCTACGTGTGCTGCAAGGCTATGCAACATTTAATAGCGTCGTGCTGAAACACACTTAGGAACTTTAGTTCCGCGGCACATAATCTCTCGTTAATAAAATTTAATGAGTGAAAAAAATAACCGAGACGGTACGCACATGGACCGAACATGCCGTACCGAAACAGTTCAATGCACCCACATGTATCGTTACACCCCTAATATATATATATATATATATATACTAAAATAAACTACTTCTACTACTATTCCTACTTTGAGGTTTTTCACTTATTGCGGGTCTTTAGCGTACGGATCTCCTGTGATAAACGAGGGACTACTGTATTCTGAACATATGTTTTTGTTTGTTTTGGCTAAAGTTTAAATAAACTGTTTTGACAGAATCCTTCTCAATTGTGGGGAGATTTTATTAATCAGCGAGGAGTGTTTAGTTTCTCTTTAGTTTTTGTTCTGATTGGTTTTGGAGCTGACTGGACTGATGTAGTGTCATCATAAGTGTGCCAATCACAAGTCATCATCTCACTCACACCGAGGGACATCCATCCATCTATTATCTTTTACACGCTTCTTCCATTTTGGGTCACGGGGGTCTCTGGTGCCCATGTCCGGCGATCACTGTGCGAGGGGCGGGGTACACCCTGGACGGGTCGCAAGTCCATCACAGGGACACATAGAGACAAACGAGACAAACAACCATTCACTTTCTCACTCACACCTAGGGACAATTTAGAGTTACCAATCAGCCTAACATGCATGTTTTTGGTCTGTGGGAGGAAACCGGAGTACCCGGAGAAAACCCTCGCATGCACAGAGAGAACATGCAAACTCCACCCAGAAAGGTCCCCGGCCAGGATTTGATCCAACAACCTTCATGCTGAGAGGCGACAGCTCTACCAACTGCGCCGACTGCAGCATTTTTTTATTATAAATATGAGTGCATTTTTGGAACGATAACACGTTGCTAAAAAATAAAACTTCACGCTGCTGAAATAAACAGTTGTTGCGATACTGTCATGCAGTAACAGGAAGTGAAGGCAAAGGGGACACCTGAATGTGAACAGAGCATTGCTTCAATAACTAACAACAGAGAAGAATCTGAGGTTTCTTTAGATGATTTAGAGTCACTATCAGAGAGACGAAGAGTCAGAGTTAAAATATTATTGTTTGAATAAATAAAGACCAGGGAGTTCCTCTTTTTAGAGTTCCCCTTTGATGTCACTTCCTGTTTCACTTTGTCCATGCCAAGTTCAAAATAAAATATGCCATTTATGTGACAAAATGTGTAAATTCATGTCAATCAAATACCTCGAATACTAAGATGCTTTCTTCCACTTTTTGTTTTTGTAAGATGTGCATGTCACAGGCCCTTTAATGTATTGCATTTTTTACAGAAACATCAACAGACTTTGTAGCTCAGCTTCCAGCTCATTGTGAGACATAGCTGCAGGTGTGTATCTGAATACTGAGCTGGTAATCAAAATGATGTGTTTTCCTGCCAGGTGTGAATGCTCTCAGTCAGAGCTGTGCACTTACAATCAGATCATCCAGGTTGAGTGTTAATGCCAAGTTTGAACAAGGCCTATGAGAGTGTGGAATTAAAACGTCAGCATTATATACACTACAGAAAGGTGAAACAGAAGTATACCTAATAGAGAAAGCACTTAAAGTTGATGTTTAAGAATATGTTTAATGAAATAAAGAGTAAAATTACATTATAAAGGGATAAAATGTACAGGAGTGCTTGAAAGTTTGTGAACACTTTAGAATGTTCTATATTTTTGCATAAATTTGACCTAAAACATCTTCAGATTTCCACACAAGTCCTAAAAGTAGATAAAGAGAACCCAGTTGAACAAATGAGAAAAAAATATTATACTTGGCCATTTATTTATCGAGGAAAATGATCCAATATTACATATTTGTGAGTGGTAAAAGTATGTGAACCTCTAGGATTAGTAGTTTGAAATTAGAATCAGATGTCTTCAATCAATGTGGTGATCAGGTGTGAGTGGTCACCCTGTTTGATTTAAAGAACTGGATCTATCAAAATCTGCTCTTCACATGTTTGTGGAAGTGGATCATGGCAGGAACAAAGGAGATTTCTGAGGAGCTCAGAAAAAGAGTTGTTGATGCTCATCAGGCTAAAAAATGTTACAAAACCATCTCTAAAGAGTTTGGACTCCACCAGTCCACAGACAGACAGACAAATATGTAACATTGGATCATTTTTCTCAGAAAAAATGACCCAAGTGTAATATGCTTGTCTCATTTATTTAACAGGGTTCTCTTTATCTACTTTTAGGACTTATGTAAAAATCTGATGTTTTAGGTCATATTTATGCAGAAATCTAAAAAATTCTAAAGGGTTCACAAACTTTCAAGCACTACTGTACCTCAAAAAGGCACTTATTGAACATAAAGGCACTTATGGAAAAAATAAAGAGTACTATAACACTAGTTTTACAAACCTTCACGTACACATACCAACACAAAATAGTACTACAAAATGATATGTGATGTGATACGATACGATACAATACAGTATGATACATTGCATCATTGCAATAGCTTATACTTTATTGTTATTTCAGTGATATTTAAAAATGTATTTTCAAATGCTGACTAAATGTCAGTACTGGTAGTTAACTGGTTCATCCAGAGCTGTAACCTCATTTGTGTGATAACACAGTCCTCTTAGTTTCAGTGCAACAAATATGCCAGTTTGGAGGCTGCTATTCAGTGGTTTTGAAACCAGTGTTCTTGCTGAGTAAAGGTCACCAGGAGGCCTGAGGAGAGGCAAGCTGCAGACAAACAGGGATACAGCAAACTTTATTATTGGTGTTGTGTTAAACTGGGAACACGTGACCGGCCACAGCATGGGTTTTAAAAAGCAGTGGATGGAGCAAAGTAAGGGCCCAGGGCAAGTTTTGGTTAAAGAGGTGGCCTTAAAAAACAAAGGCTGCTGCTGTTAGCTTCATATTCTGACATCAAGATGAAGCTTTTACGTAAAACAACTCAAACTAGAAAAGGATCCTTGTGTTTACTGGGATTTCCAAGCATTCATAGCTAATTTCGTATTTTGCCCTTGCAAAGATGAGCAAGATTTTTCTTTCAGCACAGAGGTGCGTCAGAGTCGCATAGCCCTTTTTAAGTATTGATTTATTTTTATTTTAGCTTTTAAATTTAACAACCTAAAGGAGAATATAATGCTTCAGCTGCTTGGATACCAACCTTACGAGGTATGTTTAAATAAAAAAGAAGAGCAAAAAGAATGAATTGATTAAGATGGATTTGAATACACATGAGTGCTGTTGTTCTATCGACTTACAGTTTATTAAATGCTGCAGTGGACATTTAGGCAAAAGGTTATAAGGTTTAAAAATAGATCTCTAAATGCTAAAAACGTTAAAGTCTGACTGTTGGATTTTTGACCTTCTTTATTTGCCTGCTGTAACATTTCTGGATTATTTTTGCTATGTGGAAAATAATGATCCTTGGACGTGAAACAGAGTTGCAAGTTTTAAATATAAAAACAGAGAAAAATCTGTTTCAAAATAAAATTGCCTCTGTCTTTTCGTAGACAGTTCTGCATAAATGTACTCTGCTGATAAAGTTTTTTTTTTTTTATTGGCTGCATTTCTGTCGATTCACCTTTAGCCATCAACATTCCCTTTTTGTCTTTTATTATTATTATTATTATTTGGCGTTTTCATATTTTCTGTGCTTTCTGCTAACAGGTTCAGACTCATTTGGAAAACCCAACCAAGTACCACATCCAGCGCTCTCAGCAGCAGCAGGTGAAGCGGTACCTGGGAAGACTCGGCTCCCAGGCCTTGAGCTTGCCCTGCCCCAACCAGTCCTCTGACCACGGGGGCATGCCGCCAGGGCCGGGCAACAGCGCCCCCAACAGCCCTATGGCCTTACTGACCCTGAACGCGAACTGCGAGAAAGAGGTTAGTCTGAACCGATTTCACTGCTTCATGTGTTTTTATTTTTCGTTTTAGTAAAGTCATTTAATCTGACTGCTTTCAGATGGATGATGTCATTGATGACATTATTAGTCTGGAGTCCAGTTATAGTGACGATATCCTCGGCCTGATGGACCCAGGACTTCAGATGGCCAGCACGGTACGTGTGTGTGTGTGTGTGTGTGTGTGTGAGTGTGTGTGGTGCCTCATCGTCAGCGTTTAGCCTGCACACAGACCTGGCTCCCAGCTCTGGTAAAGGTCTCAACTTGATGAATTGATTTGATGAGAGTGAATATTAAAGGTGTAAGAGCACTGTGTATGCTGCTGGAAATAATTTAACATTTGAAGGAGAACATCTTGTAGCGATGTACTTGTTCATGCAAATAATAATACTCTGCATATTCAATCAGTTTTTTTCATTGTCCAGTCTCACCACATCTGGCTTAGACTCTACTCAGGTCTACACAGTCCAGGTTGTTGTCAATATAACTTGAATGCTGCTGGTACCGTCATGATGCTGCCGTCCAAAATGTCAGCGATGTGATTTTATATCCAGAGCAAACACAAAATATCAATGGTTAATAAATGTCACAAAACACTCACCGTCCTCTGCCACAATTTCCAAAAATGCCATGGCTGAAATGAGGCCTCTTTCCCTGTCTGAGCCTGTGAATTGGGTCCATTTGGTCTAGCTCTGTCTAGATTCTGTTGTCGGCCAAGAGACATGGACAGTCTGCACCTCCTCATAGTACCACAGTGTTGGTACTGGGCGAGTAGGTCCAAAGAACTGGGCAGGAAGCAAGTGGGACCATCTAATGGAAAGACTGTGCCGAGTCAACTCGAGTAGGGCTGAGTGGAACCCATGAACAAAGTATGCACAGTTTGTATGCACAGTTTGCAGAACTGTATTGTAGGTTATGGGGAATATTTCATTGCGTACCTCAGCCCACATTGTGCCTCGGCCTGCTGTGGCACCTTGAGCTTCCCTCACATTTAGGATTTATTTTCCTACTAGAGGATTCTTTTGAAGTAAAGATAGCTTTTAGATCTTGATAGTCATGGTTGTAGACTTGAACATTTTCTGTCATAGGAGAGCTTTCATGCAGGTGTCAAATACTGCTCCAGTCCTAACGTTAACCTAAACTGAGAAAGGTTCAGGGTGCCCAGGACAACTTTACCATTTTGAAAATAAATTTGTGACGCAAATTTGTTGAACATGTTTAAAAATACAAAGGTCAAACCTGCATGCTTTGGTGACTCACACAAGCAGAGTGAAAACCCCCGCTAACGTCTTTAGACGTTATGGAGACTCCTTCTTACACGCGGGTTACCAACCAGTGGCCAACCATCGCAGCCCAGTGAGAAACCAGCTTAACCATGAGAAATGTGACTTTTGCTCAGCGGCGTCTCTGCTGTGTTGCCCTCAGATCCCTGTGCCTCCTAACCTCATGGACATGTATGGTAATCAGGGTATGTCCCAACAAGGTCTGTCCATAAGCAACTCCTGCCCTGCCAACCTGCCCAACATCAAAAGAGAATACTCAGGTGAGGCGGACACAGCTCACACCGCAGAACATGTTTAAAGCTTTGTGTAACTATTTAACATATATTTGTCTTCTTTGTGTTGAGATCTACAGGTGCATCTCCAAAAATGCTAATAACTATACCAAAGTTCATGCTCAATAATCCAGGTAAAAATCCAACAGTGTTCAGTCAGGTCATCTGGACGGTTTCTTTTTTTTTTTTTGCTGAGATGTTTCATCCTTCTTCCAAAGGAATTCTTCACTGGAGGAGTTGATGAGGGAGAAGGCTGGCCCCCGAGGCCATCTTAGCACCAACAAACTGTTTTTTTTTTCCCCACTATGGAGTATGCTGTTTGTTGAAATCAATTTGTTTTGGTGGCTCCTCAGAATGAAGAAGTCCTTTGGATGAAGAACAAAATGTCTCGGCAAAAAAAGAAACCGTCCAGATGACCTGACTGGACATTGTTGGATTTTTTTTTTTTTTTTTTTTACCTGGATTATTGAGCATGAACTTTGACGCTAATGATAATAATTCTAATTTATTGAGGCACACCTATAAACATGGCTTTTTTTTTTAAATGGTGTTATGTCTATGATTGATTGTTGATTCAAATATTTCATAAACAACTACTGGTATTTATCATTTAGTGTCACAATCTTCAGCCATCATGCATATGCTGGATAAGTCTGGATCCTGTGGCAAGTTTGACACCTATCAACGGCCTGAAGGGTTCCCTGTGGGTACGTCTGAGGATTTAGCTTCAAGCTCCAGCAGATAGCTGCTGTTTATTTTGCACAGACTTGTTTAGTTTTGGATTAGATTTGTTTTATTGATCAAAACATTTTTCCAGAAGCTGAGGTCAGAGCCATGGCTAAGGAGAGGCAGAAGAAAGACAACCACAATTTGAGTGAGTGTTGATTGTCCTTTTTATTTATTTATTTATTTATTTATTTTGGTACATCCTAAAAGAAACACTTAAACAAATGTCCTAATTGTGTTTCAGGGAATGATTCTTTGTAAAAATAAAAATTAATGGTTAATAATCTGCTCTTGTTCTGTAGTTGAGAGACGACGACGGTTTAACATCAACGATCGAATCAAAGAATTGGGAACGTTGATTCCAAAATCCAATGACCCGTAAGTCAGCCATCATATATTTGATTCCAAACAGGCTTGAGAAACATTCAAACATTTGTCAATTTAAAAGTGAGATTGTTAAACTAATAAAGATATAAATAATGCTGCATAATATCCTGTTACTTTGTAGTTGAATACATAAAAAAGATCACTGTTATAATAAGAAAGTACCCTAAAGGAGACTTTAAAGAATCAGATTCACATTTATTTTTATGAATTGCTCCTAAGTTCATTATGAGAAGTGATGATTGCTGTTTCTGCTCAATCTACTCACGCTGTTCACAATAAACAGAAAATAATTGAAGGCTACAATTCATAGTTCTGTCAAAAAAAAGTATAATAATCTTCAAATTCAGATAACGCTCCTGTCAAGTCAGTATTTTCTTTTTTTTTTAATACTCTCTCTGCAGCCATAAACAAAAAATACTTCAAACAGAGAAAAAGGGGATGTTTAAAATGTAAAGTGTTGTAAAATGTGAAGCTTTTCACTTGATTTGTGCCTCATTGTTGAACCCTTTTATTTTTTTCTGTTTATCTTTAAAGAACACATTTATGGAATTAATCTCCTATAACGTCTGTTAACACAGACTTTTATAAATTGGCTAGTTTAGTTGGATAATCTTAAATATTGTGCAGATCCTTTTCCACTAGATGTCACTAAACTAAATCCCACACTCTGCTCCCTTCACTTGTTAAATAACTGAAATCAGAACCTAAATACAACAAATCTGCTTGTAAAGTAAAACCACTGGCATGCCTGTGATTTTTCAGAGACATGCGCTGGAACAAAGGCACCATCCTGAAGGCGTCGGTGGATTACATCCGGAAGCTGCAGCGAGAACAGCACAGAGCCAAGGAGCTGGAGAATCGGCAGAAAAAGCTGGAGCACGCCAACCGGCATTTGATGCTGAGAATACAGGTAGATTTAAAATGAGACAAGTGCCTGGAAGATGGAGACATGCATAGAGAACTGAAACAAAGTCAGCTATTAAATATCAGTTATATCAGTGTAAGAAAATAATATGAGGCAGGGACACATTTCTATACACAGTTTAGCTAAAAAAGACACCCAGTAGATGTTGTACCTTTTTTAAACGTATTAATTTTGGGGGAGAATTCAACGTATCTGTATTTCAGGGAGGAAGTCGAAAAATCTCAAAATATTTTAACCTTCTCAGTGTAAATCCAAAAAACCTTCTCAATTTTATCACTGGCATCTTCACGATGTCTGACGAGTACGACAGCTGCATTTTAACTTCTGCACAGGAGCTCTCTTCTAACAGAAGCTTGTCCAATCTTAGAATAAATACTAATTAAAACTGGACTGGACATGCTTATCTTCATTTCAAAAGTGGACTGCAGTGATTTAAATCATAAACAGGGTGCAAAGCATACGGAGGTGGTTAGAGGTTGTCAACAAAATAACGTGTGCAGCCTTGAATGTGGAAGTCGTACACACTAAAATAAGCTGTGATTTTCAAAATCTGCATGGCTCGCTTGGTCCAAACACTCATAATTCAGTGAGACAGCAGCAACATATTTGCATCTTTTTTTGCAATATTGAGTTAAGTTTGAGTTACTTACATGTCTTGAATAGTTGCAGCCCAGAAAGATGCTACGCTTAGACCAGGGATGTCCTATTCTGGTCCTCAAGGGCAGTTATCCTGCATGTTTTACTTGTTGACCTGCTCCAACACGCCTAATCCAGCCACTGAATTACCTCCTCATGTTCTGCAGAAGCTTGTTAATCACCCATTCATTCAACTTAGGTGAGCTGGAGTAGAGAAACCTCCAACATGTAGGAAGGTGGCCCTCGAGGACCAGGATAGGACACCCCTGATTCAGTCATTATGTTCAAGATGGGAATCTTTGACCAGTCACTTGCTTTTGCATCTACAGTTAGTGTTAATTTAGTCCTCAAAATGGCAACGTCTGCCAAGATTGGAAAAAATGAAAGCAATCATTAATCACAAAAGATGAATTTTATGAAAGGGAGTATTTTCAAAGTAATGATGAAATGATGAAAGTCATAATGGTGTCATCTGAGATGGAAATAAATTGGTGTCAAAATATTTAGTCATTCGTGTCCTGGATGTGATTTTGGGCTCAAATTGTTAGAGTTCTTACAGAACTGGAGTTAATGCACAGAAACAACTTCATTCAGAGATTTATGGCAGTCTGGACTAGAGTTGCATTTGGTCCAAAAAATTTGACCCGACCCGGCCCCAGCCCGTAGCCATAATTTCCAGACCCCACCCGATCAGTCAAATTAACAGTAAATACAGGTCCGAGTTTGAAAAAAAAAAAAATCATAATTAAGCTTTGACTGCTTCTAGCTATAGTTATTAACGTTCGGTGGACACGCGCGGCTGAAAAGGGGGCAGAAGATCGGAGATGAGGGGGTGTTTGTCCTTTCATGGCCGTCAAAGCGCATTAACTGCTTCCCCTGCTTCTGCCTGCATTCTGCATTATTCAGACATGGACCCTGCTCTGACTTGTCGGATATTTCGTGCTCTCACCTGTTTGGGTCTTCGACCGCGCGCATCCGCTGAGTGCAGCGGCTGAATAAACATCCATTTGGGCTGATGGATCACTGGCAATAGTCCATCTGAAGCTTAACTGAACGTTTTACCTCTTTCAAGGCTGGTCAGCGTGCGATGAAATGGCCACATGCAGCTGGTGATAGTTTGGCAAGCCATGTTGCCATACAATTGGATCGTCAGCCGCACGCGTCCACTGACGCAATCAAAAGCCTGACACCGACCCTTCCCGCACATTAAACACATTATTATGGACCGGCTCAGTCCAAATCCGGGTCGGACGGGTCCAGGCTTCAGGCTCCGGGTTCAGGTTAGAAATGGCAGCCCTAGTCTGGACCAACAAGTTGCCATCCAATGTATTTCCCTGTTCCATTAAAAAGTGATGTAACGTGGCTGGTTAGACAGTTCAGGTAGACCAGGGAGCTGCAGTCTTTACAATCAAGAGGCATTTTCCCCCCGTCTCATAAAATAATTTTGCAGCAAAATGTGCTTGAAGCTTGAATTAAAATGCACTAAGAGCAAGAATCTTAATTTACTTCAACTTTTTTCTTCTTCTTTTTTTAAATCAGACCAACCTTGACTTTTAATTATTTTTGTTCTCAGATTGACTTCACTGATGTTTTGCAACTAGCTCATTTTTTTTACTCTTTGTATAATTAGTATCACTCTGTCACTGAAATTTCAATCAAATATTTGCATAAGGCTGGACAAACGCTAAAAACTAGACATGTTTTGTGGGTACAAATCAAAGTATTTTAATCTCCATGTTATTTTTGGTCAAAACACAAAAGCCACTCCTTAGAGATCAGTATGAACTAGATAAATTGCATGTCCTGCGAAAATGCAGTTTGAATGCTTATTACTGAAGAATTTGCAGAAAAAAAGCTGAAATTATCTAAAATCTTGCTGAATTGTAGCTGAAATGGAAGAAGAGGCCTCAATTAGCATAAGAAAGCAGAAAGAACACATATTTGCTGAATTAGGTTTAAATAAGCATAAATTAGCACAAAAATTAGGAAATTAGCTAAAAAAAAGCTGAAGTTAGCACAAAAAACAGCTGAAAAGTAGCTGAAAAGGCAGAAAAAAGCTTAAACAACCAGATAGATGCAGAAAGAGCTGAAATGAGCTAAAAACACATGGAATTAGCTAAAAAAAAAGTTAAAATTAGCATAAAAACATATATAAAAGCTGAAATAGCAGAAAACGCTGAAACTTGCAAAAATAAGCTGAAAGGAGCATAACAAGCTAAAATTAGCAGAAATAAGTTAGAAGAAGCACAAAAATGTTGTAGAGAGCTGAAAGAATCTGAAAGGAGCACAACAGCTGAAATTAGCTAAAAGTAGCTGAAAAAAGTTTAAATTTGCACAAGGAAGCTGAAAGTAGCTGAACCAGAACAAAATATGAAAGAAACAGTAAACGGTTGTAAACACATCTAAAGATTTGAAGGATGTAAAATGAGCTCAATTAATTTTCTATGAGAAAAAAAATGGCAGAAAAGTCTAAATATTTCATAACGCTAAAACTGCACCAATACCAAAAGTTATAGCACCCTTCTTCTGAACGAGCTGAACGTTTTGATATACGATTTGTTGAAATGGCTCAAAAACTGTGGAACGAGAAAGATGCAGAGAAATGTATGGAAGAAAACTGGATCAGAATAGTGTGAATGCTTCACGAACATTCACACAGTAATAAAGGTCTCGGTTGTTTAAAAGCAGAACCAGCAGCTCTGCCTCAGTCAGTAACTGGTGAACGTCACACCGGCGGCAGAGCTGATCTGGACCATGTGTCTGTGATTTACAGGAACTAGAGATGCAGGCCCGAGCTCACGGCCTGTCCATCTCATCTTCAGCGCTCTGCTCTGCTGAACTCGGGGCGCAGCCCATCAAACAGGAGCCCACCCTGGAGGACTGTCGCAGAGACCTGTACACGCTCCACCCCCATCACCAACACCACCACCACCACCCCGCCTGCACCCCAGAGCAACCCGGCACGTTGGAGGGCCACTCTAACTTTTCCGAGGGCCACTACAGCTCTCAGAGCAAAGCAGGCGACGTCCTCATGGAAGACACCCTGTCACCAGTGAGTGGGGGGGACCCTTTGCTCTCGTCCGTCTCCCCGGACGCCTCAAAGGACAGCAGTCGTAAGAGCAGTGTCAGCATGGATGAGAATGAGCAGGGCTGTTAGCGCCCCCCAGTGGGAGACACCTCACCTGCTTCTTTAAACCCACCCCCTTCCTTCTGCCACAAATGTTGAAGGTAACACTGTCACAGCTGCTGGAGAGGTTTTTTTTTTTTTTCTTCCCCCACCTTTGTTTACGTCTGTATCTTCATATTTTTTTAATATATATTTTAAACTCCCAACCTTGATCACAAAGACTGTTTGCTTTAATCTTTGCTTTGCTGACAGTGAGTTGTAAACCCAGATGGTTTTATATTTAAAGATGTGCATTTATCTTTTGAATAGAGTAGATTTTTTAAATTGATTCCAAAGAACCTAGGGAAGTTATAAATCATGGTCACAAGTGTAGATGTTTGTGTCGAGATGAACACTACTCTTAAAATCACTAGCAATAATAGAACAATATTTATTACTCTATTGCTTTACACTCCTTGTGTCTTAGACTGAACTTGAATGTGCAAATGCCTTATTAAGATGTGAACACATCCTTGTTGTTCTGCTGCACATGTGTTGGCTGTTAGCAGAGTCTCTGTCAGTCTTCCAGTTCAAATCTCCTGCTTGGTAATTATTAATAATTTGTAGTTTTTATTTTGTTTATGTAACTTTTTATGCAGCGTTGTATGTACACATTCCCCTGAAATGTATATTTGTAGCGAGGTCATTTAGCAGAGCCTAAGCTGATAAATAAGCACAAAAAAACAAAACTGAACTAAACACATTTTCTTAAGATGGCTCCCTCATCTCAGCCCCGATAACAACATATTGTAGTTTTTGATGTTAAAATATGAACCAATCCAATCACAAGACAAGGTCTTTTTTTTTATTAATTTGATAGTGTCTACTAGATATTTTCCCAGGACATTCCTCACTGCCAAAACCATAAAAACATTTTTTTTAATGAAGTCTCAAAATGTTATTAAGATAAAACAGAATATAAAACGTGTTAATCTGAATCATTGGGATATTGTTTATAAGTCAGTGGATCTTTATCATTTGTTTGATCATAGAAAAACATGGACGACTGACACAAACCCAGAAGTTGAAGTTGAAACAAAAACCACGCTTCCTGGTAGGCTGGGCTTAGAAAGTTTAGGTCCCGCCCCTCCATGGAAATGATTGGCATTGTTACCTGACTACTTCAGATCATTACTTTTTTAAGCATTGACCCTCGTTGATTCATGCAGTCCTTACCTTACTGCGGTATGTTGAAATATCTTATTTTTTATATAATGGAAGTAAAGTAGTCCCTCAATACTTTGCGGTTCGACTTTTGCAGGTTTTCAACCTAAGATTATACACAACACACAATTGTCTGATTGATGGAGTGAGCCAACCGCTCGTGCAGCTCACTCAGGTATAAGACAAACCCCCACCCCCTTCTTTCTCTTTCTGAGGCTGTCTGTCACAGCAGAGGCAATGGGGAAAGACAGACCCCACCCCGCCCCTCCTTTCTCTTTCTGAGGCTGTCTGTCACAGCAGAGGCAATGGGGAAAGACAGACCCCACCCCGCCCCACCTTTCTATTTCTCTGCTGTGGCATCACCAGAAAAAGAAAGGAGGGGTGGGGTCTGTCTTTCTCCATTGCGACTGCGTAGGGAGCAGGGATAAACAGATCAGATGAACCAATGTAGAACATCTGAGAAAATGCTTAGGTGGGCAAATAGGAGTGAATCTTTTTTTTTTTTTTAAGAGAGAGGGTGGTTGAGCGCGACTCAGTCGGGTATAAGACAGACATCCGCCACCTCCTTTCTTCTTCCAAGGCTGTCAGTCACAGCAGAGAAAGAGAAAGGAAGGGGCGGGGTTTGGGTCTGTTTTTCCCCATCATGTCCCAGACACACAACAGAACAGACAGAACTCAGAAAAAAAAAGGAGGGGGCGGGGCTGCACGAGCGGCATAGATTCTTTATTTAAAATAATAAAATATGAACTTTGTTAAGAACATTGAAAGAGTGTGGAAATGGTTTATGAAGCCTTAAACAATATATATAAATACTAAAATTAAAAAAACACCCCTACTTTGCAGATCTTCACCTATCGTGGGGGTGTCTGGAACATAACCCCCATGATAAGTGAGGGACTCCTGTAAACAGAGACATGTCGTCCATCTTTTTCTACAGTCTACTGAATGACAGGATCTAAGGAAGGGGTTTCCATTTGAGTCTTTCTTGAGGCAATCCTTCAAGCAGACCTGGTAAACTTAATTTCATTGGTCATTTTCTACCACCTCAGTGACATTTCACATTCAGGGTCTTTTTACATTTTCGCTTGTAAATGTATGATGTCAAGGAATATAAGGAGAATGGTTTTGTACAAACTGCATGACCTTGTCTAAACACTGGAAGGATCGCTGAAAACTGAAATGTGGTTTGTTAGCCAAAAAAAAAAATTCACAGCTTAAATTTACCAGTTGTATTTGGTTTGTAACAGCCACATGTGACACTTTACAAGACTGCAGATTCTTTGAGGTACACAATTGCTGTATATTTCTGCACAGTGCTGCACTAGTTAACACATGTTCATGAGTAACTCCGTGCCGTTTAGTCAAGTCTCTGAAACCGCACAACCTCCAGTTTGTAAAACAATGCAATGGTTCAAGTTGTGCCTGTAAATCATACTGCCTTGAAAATGTGATCTTTTATGAAGTACGGTAGGTTAAGGTGGTGAAGTTTTTTATTTTATTTAAGTGCCTTATGGTTGCTTCTGTTATCTTGGTGATGTACAAGTACTGATGCAATATTTTGTTGATATTAATAGAAGTGTTTGGTGCTTCATAATTATTAACTCCAGGTGAGAGCAACAATACAGACATTCTACCATGAAACAGCACCATAGACTCAAAACCCACAAAAAATGGTTCGTAATAAAAGCACCCGGAAGTATTCAATATTAAAAAATATTTAAATAATTTACATAGGTAATCAGATAGTTCAGTAAATGTTTTTTCATCTCCTCTGTAATTGCTGAGTAATTTTCACCTGCTTGTATGAATGGAAACAATGGCTTTGTCTTCCAGAAGCCTTGAGCTTTAATCCGTCAGGAAATGTAGGGCTTGCCAGCAAGACCACAGTGCCAAAGGAAATCTGACCCAAACCAGTCTCGTCTAAAGTAGCTACATGACATACTGACAGACTGTGAAGAGCATTAACATAAACCAGCTAAGCAGAAGGAAAAGCATGACATGCCCAAACAGACACGGAAATAATAACTAAAATATTGTCACCGTGGGAAAATGCGCGGATAAATTAAATAAAATGTTTAGTTTTGAGCACAACTAGCAATGTGACTTTCAGATAAACTAACATCCATCCCCAATAACTTCAGTCGTATTTTACTCTCTGCTCGAGGTTAGCATTGTTAGCAGAGGTTAGCGTTCTATGCTATGTTAGCTCGTTAGCTTTAGTGAGCATGCTAACATGCTAGATTTAGCATTTAACCCAACAGTTGCCAGATATGATAATTATTATATTTATACTATACTTTTAGGATACTGTACAATATGTACTTTTCTTATCTGGCAACACATGTCCAAATTAATACTGCACCCCAGCCCCGCCCCCTGCAGCTTTAGAGCACTTCTCTGCTTTATTCACTTCGAGTCATCATTTTTATATGATCCATATTTATTTATTACTGAACACCTTGGAACTCTGTATTCTGTTGGTGTGTATTTTATTTGTACCAACAACTGTATTTAAAATTGTTTCGAGACTAGTATGAATGTAGTTCACAGTTGCCAAAATGTGTGCCAAAAAAATAAAGACAGTAGATTTATACTGTATGTAAACATGAATTACAGGGTTTGAACTACTGATAGTGTCTTAACGGCCTTATAGTGATATTTTATTGTAAAGTAATTAAAACAACAAAACTGTTCCAAATGTGAGTTTTTTGTTTGTTTAGTTTTTGTTACCCGTTACATTTCACCGAATACACTCCAAGCATGAAATATGACTGGCATAGTGGTACTGCACGTTAAAGCCATCACGTTTACCGTTGTTTCAGCACACAATGGACAAACCACTAACAAAGAATTGTGTGGGCTCAGTTTTTGAAATTGAGTGCAAAGTTCAATTCCTGTGTTTGATTCAAACAGTGTCCTACCGCGGCGTCGCTATTGTTTGTGTTTCGAAGAGATGAAGGTTGCAATAGTTACTGTACCCACCGTTTGTCAGATCATTGAACTCGTGCTCAGAGTCACCGGTACTCAATGTTGAGACTGTCTTGCAAGAAATATTAAAAGATTTATTTGAACGTTTCTTGGAGCTTTTTGTGTTTTATCACTTAGAAGTCCATTTTTTTACAATGCAAAGTGAAAAACAAACGTTTATTGTACATTATAATACTTGTTTCTGTGATGAATTTGTTTCCATTGACATAACAAAAAATAAGTGACTAATACAAACCCATTACACGTGACCATATGACCAGTCCTGTATTTGTGAAACATACACCACAAATGGTATAAGTTAAGGGAAAAAATTGCAACTTTTCATGAAGTCGTGCACAATTGAGTTCTCAAAAATATCTCTTTAAAAGTGTTGTGATTTGTAAAGGAATGCTAAAACTCTGCATTAGACAAGTGCAATAAGTCAACTTTATTTATAAAGCACATTTAAAACAGCAGCAGATACTAAAGTGCTTAACAATAACATCAATGAGAGTAAATGAATGGAAAAAATAACACTAATGATAGTACTGAAAAAATGATTATAATAATATATTATAATAATAATAATGATAATATAATAACTATTAATTAAAAGCATTAAAGAAAAAACATAACAACACAGAATAAAAAATACTAAATCAACTCACACTGTGTGAAAGGCCAGAGAAAACATGTTTTTAGCAGAGATTTAAAAACAGGAAGTGGCTATAGTTAAAAAAGACATTCCTCTAACAACGTTTTTATACTGTCCGTAATATTTCACTTTTATAATATATTTTAAATTATTCTTAAAAATGAAGAAAGTTTGGTGTTTAAATTTTATTTTTTATTTGTTACCAGTGGGAGAAAGCTCTTCAGTCCATGTCTGGTGCACCTGGCAGAGCACTGCATCTTCTATCATGTCATGGAAGATCTCTACAAATCAAGAACACGTTACTGAAACTTACTTTGAATCACACACACAAACACACACATCGTTACTTGTAGCAGCTAGCAGAGGTTCGCAGCAGACACACAAGTCTTAGCCGGTGGTTTTACCTGCGTGCCCCAGTCCTGTTGGGAGAGGCATCCTCAGCGAGCCGGCTGAGTGCTTCAGACGCTCCTGGAGAGATTTCTGCACCAGGTCCAGGCTGCAGTCCCGGTGCCACACGGGCAGCTCCAGACCCTTCATGCACTGGATGATGCGCTCCTTCTCCTCTGCTGTCAGAAGCCCCTTTAGGTGGGCCACATACACCATGAAGGACATGTCGATGTTGACGGCCTCCCCGTGAAGCAGTGCTGGTAAAACAGTCTGGACCAGAAAAAGTGGAAACAGAATGAGTTTATTTCAAAACACTTTTTATGTTGCGGTTTAGCCCATTGAGGCCAATTTAAAATACAGTGGAAACTGTTCTGAGACCATTTCCAACTCGGGGCTGATGAGGTGCCCGAAATCCACCAGGCGGTCCAGATCATCCTCCCACAGGTTAGGAGCCAGCTCCTCCAGCATGGTTTCTATCGCGATGCTCGTGGATGCCACTGCGCTGTCGTCCTGCTCAGACGGTTGCAACTTGGTGTCCAACAACTTCCTGCCGTGAGCCTCCAGCAGCTGAAACAGGCCGCGGTGCTTCATCAGGGCCATCTAAAACCATTAGACCATCAGTCACACTCTGGAAGCTGCATGTCTGATCTCTGCAGGTTCTGTTAATGACCCAGCCCACAGAGACTTGTGATGAGACAGAAAACAGATTTTTAATACTGTTCAACCGTAGGGATTAGCCGAGTTGAGTCAACATGTGCATTTGTTCAAACATGCAACAAGTGACTTGTTTTCACAGCAACATATTAAAGATTTACAACCGGACAGCTGTGGTTGACGCCAACATCGAGCAATCAAGCTGCATTGGAACAAGCGCTGATTAGGTCTGGGTGCAACAAACAGATCATTTCAGCAGAAACATTCAAAGCCTTTGAATTCAGTGGGTCCTTCTGGAAGGAATGCGTATCGCCCGCTACCTTTCATGTTGGTTTTAAACTTAGATCACCTTTTCTTGACTAATTATAGAGGGATAGCATCTGTTAGCACAACATATGTGTATGGTCAGCAACTACCGCCTCAAATCTTAGCTCAAAGTCTTTAAAACTGACGGTGATTGCCATTCTTGTTTCCTGATATTGATTAGCTGTGGCAGCCATCTTGAATAATGTTGACTCCAAATGTCTAGCAACTGCAGCTGTACATCCAATAAGTTCTCTCTGAGACTTTCATTGAAATCCGTCCAGTGGTTCGTGAGATGTTTTGCTAACAAACAGGGTTGACGCCAGCAGTTAATATCAAAGTTTTAAGGACATAAATCCACATGCGGGGACCATTCTTCAAGCTGTCAGTCGGTCATGCAGTGAGGAGCACCTTCAGCATCTCTGCCAGTCCGTTAGAGATCTGCCGTGGGGGGAGGGTCTGGAAGAACGAGCAGTCCAAGAAGGATGCCACCGGAGGGACGTAACTCCCCAGCTTGTTTTTCCCACCAGCGAAGTTGACCCCTGTTTTGGCCCCCACGCTGGCATCAACGTACGACAGCAGCGTGGTGGGCACTCGGATATATGGAGTCCTTCGGCGATAGAGCGACGCTGCCAGGCCCACCACGTCCAGACAGACTCCTCCCCCCACGGCAACGATCGGCTCGGTGCGTCTGTCGATGCCAAACTTGTGAAGCTCCTCCAAGATCTTGGCCACTAACTCCAAGCACTTGTTCTCCTCAGTGGTGGGCAGGGGGAGAATCTTGGAAACGACTCGTCTGGACTCAAAGTAGTGAGCAAGCCTGAAGCCGTAGAGCTCATGCACGGTTTCATCGATAACGACGAAACGCTTCACGGGTTTGGAGTCGTTTCGTGAGGCGCTTTGAAGTTCTTCATCTCCTATGTGACCCCAGAGCAGGGTATCGTTGCTGGGGTCCAGGAGGTCTCTGCACTGAATGACTCTGTAGGTGAACACGATGGGGCTGACAACGGTCCAGGTCACTCCTTGTTCTGACTTGTTCTCATAGCTGAAGGTAATTCATAGTAAACAACAACAAACAAACAAAATGTTGTTGGTTATTTAACCTGAATTTCAGACCTCCTACAATGTTCTCCTCTTCAAACACACAATGCATACTGTTATCCCGTTTTATGTTTCCAACCGTCTAGATGGGATCGTTTTAATATTTTAATTTAAGTCATAATACAACACAGAAAAATGCTACTGTGCGGAATGAAGATGATAAAAACACATTCATAAAGCCACCATGCAGCATCGAGGGCAGGAGAAGGAGGAGGTGCTATAACTTTGTAAAAACAGAGATAACCACTTTAAAATAAGGCCTTTGTATGGAAGCCCATCTCTGCAACTTTTATTAAAAAATACATCTTAAAATATGAAACACTACAAGTCATGATAATGAGCTGCTGAGAGTGGTGGTGCAGCGGTTAGAGAAGGAGAGACGGTGATCGGGAGGTCACATCTGGATCACCTGACTGTTACCACAACAACCATTTGGGTGAGAAATATGAAGCACCCCCCACCTGCCTTCACCCTTTTTTACCCCACTCTGGGCCCTTGAGCAGCTCTTAACCCAGCCCCAAAACAGCTGAAAGAAAAATAATAATAATAATAATTATGAGACTGTTTATCACAAATGATGTTTTCCTTTTTTTTATATAAGTGGCAAAAATAGACTTCCACTTTTTTTAAATGCATTTCATTTTCTGAAAATGTGGGCTCCCGTGGGTTGGGACCATCCTTAACAACCCTTTCCACACATACACACACACACACACACACACACATCACCCCACCATCCGAAACAGGAGAATTATTAATGACATTTTTTTTTATATAATTTTTAATGTAAGTCGAACTTTACTGCAGAAATTTGAATTTAATCCTTTTTTAGTATTATTTTATTTTTAATTCAACCTTAATTTTATAAAGGCCTTGCTCAAGGGCACAGAATGGAGCAAAGGAGGGTGGAGGCAGGTGTGGGTGCTTCACTTTTCCCACACACATTTTGATGTTGTCTGTACCGGGAGTTGAACCGGCGTTCTTCCAGTCATAGGCCTACCTTCTCTAACCTCTGCGCCACCACTCCCATTCAATGAGACTCTCATCTGCTCCCTAGACTGCAGCTCTCTGCTCCACAGAGGGCTGTGGTAGCTCGGTGGTCTGTGGTTGTGTCAGTAAGGGTGCCCGGCGTAAAAATAATTGTCAAATCTTCGTGTGACGTAGTTCGCTGTGACGACCCCTGAAGAAGGGAGCAGCCGAAAGAAGAAGAAGAAGAAGAAAGTCTCATTGAGTCACGAGGACTCATTTTCAGGAGAGCCCTGTTTTAGACGGACACCATATAGAGCGCAATAAACAACAATAAAAACAGTAAAAACAATAAAGTAATAAAAACGATCAAATCAAAGTGAAATCTAAAACAAGGTAAAATACTAAAAACAAGAACATATTTCCTTAGATATTGTTCTTGAAATCCTTAACGTTTTATATTAAAATCTTAGTAGTTTTGCAAAAAAATAAAATAAAATAACCTAAGTATTTTTTTCTTGTGCTTAAAGTTTTGGTCAACAATTTGGCAAAATACTTCTTGAGTCTCTATATCTTATTGAAGCCTGCACTGAATGTACAAATATCAAGTATGTTTGAATAAATTGCCAAACATTATAATTATTATTAAGAATAAAAATTACTGGTACATGTTGCTTTTTGACTTTTTGACACGGATATTAAAGGGTTAAGGGTCTCCTCATTAACTTGTCCATTTTAGATGAACTTTCTTTTCTGTAGCACATTTATGGTGCTGCTTGAAGTTTCTGTTCAGCTTCAGTCTAAGAGCAGTTTGGAGTGTAAAGTACTCTAAGATTTTAGATTTGAAGTACTTTTTCAAATGAATGAATGAAAAAAAAAACAGATTTGTGCATCCTAAACATGTGTCCATGAGATTATTTAAAGACATTTTACGAGTTTTAACCCAAAAAAAAAAACGTAAAATGTCGCATGACTAGAATTTTCAAGCCGTGCTTCTGAGAAAACCTTTGAACGTGTCCTGCAGCCTCACTGAACATGAACACTGTGTCACTGCGGCCTGAAATAGAAAGTTATGTCCCCTCCGTCGCTAAAACGGACCGATCCAGTTTCTGGATGTCTAAGGAACGGGAGGCAGATTTGAAAGGACGACGTGGTTTCCTCTTCGAGAGCATCGCATGGAGCTGCAGGGTCCATTTGTAAAACAGCCAGACTGACAATGTCAGAACTTTCCTTCTACTTACTTTACCAACCGTACATTTTATGACATACTGTACTTACATCCTGGCATCCGACACCTTCCCCTCCTTGACTTGGCACCGCTCAGATCGAGTCCATGTCCCCTTCTCCTGGACCAGACAGAACTCGGTCTGATGTGAAGTCATGTTCTCAGAGCCGCAGCCAGCCGACCTCTGCCAGGCTTTACTGGAGGGACTGACAGGACGCCAGTGACGTAAACATGATCCCAGCTCAGCCTGCGTCCTGCTGACTGGACGACTGCAGCGTCTGTCCCCTCAGCTCAGGCTTCAGTCACGACGTGTTCCAGCTGTGGGTGAACGTGCAGCTAAAGGTCGTCAAGTGAGCAGTACTCGTTTTAACTAACAGGGACTTTAAAAAAAAAATCATCTGCTGCCAAAAGGCAGGTGATAAAAGTTTATTGTCTTTGTGTCTGTGAGAAAAAAGATCTCATGAACTGGATGGTTATAAAACATTTAGAAATTATGACGTGTACGCCTACAACTGATGAACTTTTGGAGTCTACTTCACGATGGCTGCTGCAGCTAATCAACCTTAATGAACACAAAGATGTCTGTAACTCTGCTGTTTATAGATATTAGGCTGAAATCTGATGAGCAGACATATTTCTAAACGTACAAAACTCAAGCAACAAGGCGACTGTGTGAGTCGCAGAGGACTGCTGGAAATACATTTTGGAGGCTCCCTCCGGAGGCCGTGTGCTAACTAACCACAGCCGTGAGCTTCAATTCAGATACAACGAGGTCTGGGACCTGATGGACTTGTCTAGACCTGAGTCCAGTCTTTGAGAATCATGATGGTGATATAGTTAATAATGCAGCAGATGTTTGTTTGCAGCTGTTTGAGAGTGAACGTAAAAAACATTCTGCTGCTGTTTCTAAATCTGCTCCACAGCAATCAGTCCCTGCCAGTCAGGACACACAACTCCAAATCTGTGACGACGCACCACGGTGAGTCAGGAAGCTGCACCTGGTGATTGATCGACCTGGAACATTTATCATCTGTGCTTAGTTCAAGCAACATCACCGGTTGTGTCAACAGAAGTATGTGCTTGTGTTGATGGAGAAGTTTAGTCAGTGACGTTTAGGCAAATCACCTGTCATCATGACAAGAAAAACTAGAAAGTTCCTGGAGAAACTTAAACGGGGACTGCCAGGCTGCTGCCGTTTTAAATTCTTGATTTGAAAGTAATATGTGTTTTGGTTCGCTCTCAGCTACCACTATACCAAATTTCAGCTGAATCGCTCAAAAAATGGGAGAGTTATCTTTTTTCTTTTGTAGCTAAGTTGGCCATCTTGGATTTTTGATTTGCATTAGGAATGAAATCGCTCTCAGCTAAAACCTTACTAAATTTCATCTCAATATATAAAAAAAAAAAAACTGATTTCTAGTCAATTATGTGTTTGCTGAGGCTGCTGTGGCAGCCATCTTGAATCAAAATGGCTCCAAATGTCAGATGATTACGTTCTGCGAGTTTCAAACAAATCCAACATCGAGTTTCAGTTTTGTCTCTACACTCTTAGTCATGTGACTTGACAGCAGTTAGTGTGAAGAATGTTCTCTCAGTCATTTCCTGTGGGAAAACATGGCGTCTTTGTTATCAAAAAACGTCACCATGGTAACTACGATTGCCACCGGTTGTTTTGATATAACTTTTGTGGGGATCCACATTGTGGTTCGGGCCTCATTATAGTTGAAAAATATACACTTTTCAGGTGTAGAATAATAAGTGGGCAGTCACCAACTAGTTCCTGGAGTTGGTGAAATATTGTGTCTTTGTTCACAAATTACGTCGCCATGGTAACTCGAAATGCCAATAAAAGTTCTTGCACACATCACGGGGCCGAGCCAGTCGTTTTGATATAACTTTTGTGGGGGTAGACATTGTGATTCGGGCCACGTTAATGGAGATAGAAATGTAGACTCACTTCCGAGGGGTAGAATAATAGGTGCCCCCAATAAGAGAAAATACATTTGATCACTTGACTGTTCTATAAAATTGTTCTATAAATCTGTTTTCTGAATTATTTCAACACTTCAACGGTCTAAATCACAGAATTTATGCATTGCCTGTTCAAACCATGTGGGGTGAGGCAGTGTAGTGTTCTGGTTCACCTCTCGGGCGCTGTGTCACATACAGGTGCTGGTCATGAAATTAGAATATCATGAAAAAGTTGATTTATTTCAGTAATTCCCTTCAAAAAAATGAAATTTGTATATTATATTCATTCATTATACACAGACTGATATTTCAAATGTTTATTTCTTTTAATGTTGATGATTATAACTGACAACAACTGAAAACCCCAAATTCAGTATCTCTGAAAATTAGAATATTGTGAAAAGGTTCAATATTGAAGAGGCCTGGTGACACACTCTAATCATCTAATTAACCCAAAACACCTGCAAAGGCCTTTAAATGATCTCTCAGTCTAGTTCTGTAGGTTACACAATCATGGGGAAGACTGCTGACTAGACAGTTGTCCAAAAGACGACCAGTGACATCTTGCACAAAGAGGGCAAGACACAAAAAGTCATTGCTAAAGAGGCTGGCTGTTCACAGAGCTCTGTGTCCAAGCACATTAATAGAGAGGTGAAGGGAAGGAAAAGATGTGGTAGAAAAAAGTGTACAAGTAATATGATTAAACACACCTTGGAGAGGATTGTGAAACAAAACCCATTCCAAAGTGTGGGGGAGATTCACAAAGAGTGGACTGCAGCTAAAGTCAGTACTTCAAGAACCACCATGCTCAGACATATGCAAGACAAGGGTTTCAGCTGTCACATTCCTTGTGTCAAGCCACTTTTGAACAAGAGTGTCAGAAGTGTCTCGCCTGGGCTAAAGACAAAATGGACTGGACTGCTGCTCAGTAGTCCAAAACATAAGGTTATGTTCTCTGATGAAATTACATTTTGCATTTCCTTTGGAAATCAAGGTCCCAGAGTCTGGAGGGAGAGAAGAGAGGCACAGAATCCAAGTTGCTTGAGGTCCAGTGTCAAGTTTCCACAGTCAGTGATGGACTGGGTGCCATGTCATCTGCTGGTGTTGGTCCACTGTTTTCTGAGGTCCAAGTTCAACACAGCTGTCTACCAGGAAGTTTTAGAGTGCTTCCTGCTGCTGACCAACTTTATGGAGATGCAGATTTCATTTTCCAACAGAACGTGGCACCTGCACACAGTGCCAAAGCTACCAGTACCTGGTTTAAGGACCATGGTATCCCAGTTCTTAACTGGCCAGCAAACTCGCCTGACCTTAACCCCATAAAACAATCTATGAAGTATTGTGAAGAGGAAGATGTGATACACCAGACCCAACAATTCAGAAGAGCTGAAGGCCACTATCAGAGCAACCTGGGCTCTCAACACCTGAGCAGTGTCACAGACTGATGGACTCCATGCCACGCTGCATTGCTGCAGTAATCCAGACAAAAGGACCAACAACAAAGTATTGAGTGATGTACATGCTCATACTTTTCATGTTTATACTTTTCAGTAGGCCAACATTTCTAAAAATACTTGGTCTTAAGTAATATTCTAATTTTCTGAGATACTGAATTTGGGGTTTTCATTAGTTGTCAGTTATAACCATCAACATTAAAATAAACATTTGAAATATATCAGTTTGCGTGTAATGAATAAATATAGGTTTCACTTCTTGAATGGAATTACTGAAATAAATCAACTTTTTCATGATATTCTAATTTTATGACCAGCACCTGTACAATATATGACGTAGGTGGTTGGAGCATGCCCATTGCGGTCTCTCTTTATATCGTCAATATACATGTTTGATTACACATGCTGACGTTCTACAGCACGTGTCAAACTCGAGGCCCGCAGGCCAGATGTGGCCCGCCACATAATTTTATGTGGCCAGCGTAAGCTTAAAAGGTCTGATTGTTGTATAATAAATTAGTCAAAAGGGTGCACTGACGACAAACTACATTTCTCATAATGCATGCCAATTATGTTACCTGTGAGGTAACAGCATCCCACCACTAGACTGCAGTTTTTCCACATCAATATCATTTTCAAGTGGAATTGACAAACAATGATCCCAAAATGTCCAGGAAGAGAAAAACTGATGCAGATGGAACTATTTCAAGAAAGATGTTTGTGCTTCAGGGAGAGAAACTGCTCTTTTGTGTTATGAGGCAGCGGTGGTCGTCAAGAGTACAATTTACGTCGGCATTTTGACACCAAACATGGAGCCAAGTATGCCAAAGTGAGCCTTCAACCCTAATGGTGTCCTTTTGAGATTATTATTATTAAATGTATTTTATTATATTATGTTAAATTTGCAGCAATGTATCTGGGATTGCAGGTTTATGTGTTTACGCAGGCATGTTTTCTATAATAACACAATCATCAGTTGGATGTATGACCCTTGCAAGGCTGTGTGCAGCCATTTTATTTTGTAAAATACTACACCTGTCACATGTTCTTACAGCTCACAATTGTTGGTTGAATCTTTATTCTGCCACTATTAACTATGACAAAAAAGTTTTGAACAAAGTTAATGTCATAACTTGTTGTTTTTCCTTATTCACTTGGAAAGTTTAATCATTGATTTATGGAGTGATGTGGGTTTTATAACCTGAAAAGGTAAAAGGTTTTAATAACAGCAGACATATTTTTCTACATCTATGCAAATATATTATGTAATATTTGTAAGATGAATAAGTAAAAAAAAAAAATCAGTTATTTAACATTAAGAGGCAGTTGCATTTATTTTACATTTAGTTAAATTTAGCTACATTTATACTGTCTTACAGTTACATCTTGCCCTTTGAGGGCAACCATTATGCTGATGTGGCCCTCGGTGGAAATTAGTTTGACACCCCTGTTCTAGTCTTGTCTAATATATTGAATGAATGTTTGACACAGTTCTTCTTTCAAATCGGTCATAAACAATGAAAACACACAGGGTGAGGGAGAAAGTACCGTGCCTCACCAATAGGGGGCAATGCTGCCCCATAGGGACAATGAAGCAGGTGCACATCGCTGTGTTCTTCTGTTATGTAGAGGGGCGGGGCGCAGCAAATCAGCACTCCTTTAAATGTGTTTAGATAAAATGGAAGATCATATCTCAAAACTACCGGTAAAGGATTTTTTGTAAACTTGGATTTTCAGTCAAAACAGAAGGTATTAGAGAGAGGAAGAAAAAATAAAAGGGCTAAATTGAAACATAAGCTTCTATTTTGGGTTCAATTAAGCGAGTGTCCGATTCCAGACGAGTCAGTGCCTCACCTGTCACAAAGCTCACCGCACGTCACTGCGTTTAGTGCGCTCCCTGCAATATTTCCATAATGCACAACAAAAAAACGTTACCCGCTTAAACAATCTATTCTAAATCAAAGACGTGCACTTTGTTTCACATAGATCAAGAGCAATTTAATATTGATAGAGATGCATCGGTTTACAATAATGATAAATCTATAGTATCTAGTCTTACACGCTCGGTTAGAGCGAAGTTCAGCAACGTTCATGGAAGAAGTGAAACTAAAACAAATAGAAGCTGCAAATTGTGATCAACTGACTGATTCAACCTTAAATACAAATAGATCATGTTGGCAGTGAATATTTTCATTGTTAAAAGCAACATCTTATTTGAACTCTCTACAAATCTTTATATATTATGACTACTAAAATAAAATCAGGTAGTGTCACCTCGGCTGCTATGAAGGGGGGGAGCTTTCATTGTGAAGTGCTAACTAATCAACGTTCCCTTTCCTTTGGCTTCTCCGCTCATCATGGTCCGCGCGTGTAGAGATGTATATGCTGTATAAAATAAAAATCACAACGTTTCACAAATGTCTTATTGTGATCTCAATCACCTGTACAAAAATAGTTGAGAACTAGATTAACACACACACACAAAAAAAAACAACTAATGCTAGAAAATATTTAAAAAAAAAAACCCAAGTACAGAGTGTTTGGTTACATAGATGAAGCTGTTGTTGTTTGAAAATACAAAGTCAC